AGCTGCAGTTAGGCGGGAAGCCCAGGGGGTCCAAGCTGTAGTGAAAGTCCGGAGAAGACATCTGAAGAACTTTTGGATGGAGCTGGGTCTTTCTGATGAAAAATGCTTCATTAGAGCCTCAGCCACAGCCTCAAGGAGTGGTTGATCCTCTTCCAAGAGATTTAACCAAAGAACTGAAGCATCAACATTTTTGAGCACTTCTTTGTACACAGCTTTGCATTTCTTTTTGATGCTTTTCAGGCTCAAATCCACATTAACAGAAGTACCACTCATCTTTTCATACAGCATGTCTGTCAGTCTGGCTTCAGCTGATTTGTAGGTCTGATCGGGGAAGAAATTTTTCATGACTTTGCGTAAGAACATCTTCACAATGATTTGGCAAATCAGTGGGTCCCACAGAACAGATTCAGTGTTTTGACCAGATGGTTTTGCCACCTGAGCCTGTTCTACTTGCTCCTCAGCTGTGTAGACCTCTTCCTTCTCCTCCTCATCTGAGCAGGCCTCTTCCTTCTCCTCCTCAGCTGTGTAGACCTCTTCCTTCTCCTCCTCATCTGAGCAGGCCTCTTCTTCCTCCTCCTCAGCTGTGAAGCTTTGAACCTCCTCTCGCACAGGTGTGGGGCAGGTCTGATCCTCAGCTCCAGTTTTGGGGGGACTGAGATCTGACTGGTTATTCTGCACAAATCTCCTGAACTTCTTGAGAGTCATGCTCACACAGTCCTTCCTAATCTTGCGCAGTCGGCTCTGCTTCTTTAGCCACTTCCTCGTCTCTTTAAGGATCTTGTCTACTCCAGCACGAATCTCTTCTCGGTGTGTTTTTTCTTGGACTTTTGGTGGTGTCAAGTGACTGGCCAATGTGTCACTCAGCTTTTCAGCAAAACTTTCCAGCTCGTCACCGGAAAAGATGCTGGCTAATTTCTCAAAGGGGCAATCCTCTAATGACCCACGACTTGGTACCTGATTGTTTGTTGTAATGAACTCTGTTAAAAGATCATCCACACTCTTAATCAGCTGTGAATTGACTAATTTCACAGCTTCCTGTTCTTTACGGGAGGCCGGCTTGCGTCTGAATTTAGACATCATGCTCAGGATTGACCCTCGAGCAAATGTTTGGACAAAGACAGTCCTCATCTGCCTGATGACTTTTCTCCTGCGGTATCCTAAGAGATCTTCTGTGTGACATCCAGCCAGGTCCTGTGGAACATCCTCTGTAAAATTTTCAACAATCTGAGATGATAACTCTGATAACTCGTAGTCCTTGCTGGTTTGAGAAAGAAGCAGGCTATCTTCTTCCTCTGTGGAGTAACTCTGAGCATCATGAACAATCTCTTCCAGTTGTTGCTCCAGGATTTCTTTGGTCACATGAAAAATAGTCGGGGATTTGTTGACCGTAGACTCGGCCCTGCCTGGTTTCTCTTCTTGCAGAGAAGTTACAGAGGTCTGAGTGGGTACCACCACCTCTTCCTTCTCCTGCACAGTGCAGGTTGATTTGACTCGGTGCAACATTGTCTTCATCCTTTCGTAGCAGTTTTTGAGAATCCTCTTGAAGTGTCCCCTCAGTTTGATTAGAATAGTGGGGGAAGTCTTGTGCTCCTCCGAGTCGTCACTGTCACTTGTTTTAGACAGCCTGGAGTTGACTCTCTCTGTGACTGCTGTGACCATGAGCTCTGTCACCCGCCCGCTCTTAGGGTAGTGGATGTCTCCTACACCCTGTACCTCTGCCACAGTCTGTGCGATGACTTCACCCATGTTCCCTAAACATTCGCGCACGTCCTCCTTACACACAGATTTAGCAGATCCTGGTGACCAGTCTTTCTGTTTTTCAAGTCTTCTGTTGAGAGACTCATGCAGACTTTGAGCCAAAATTTCAATAACATTTACACACAAAGCTGTCACGCGAGTACTTGTCTCTGGGTCAAGACGCCCAGTCTCCAGTCTCTGCCAGTTTTCTGCCGTCAGCTGGTTCATGAACGCACGGACGACTGGCCTAAGAGTCTCTTTGGAGGCCAGATAAAAATTCAGTTCCATCCTCTCTGGTGTGCTGATGAGACTCATACCTGCGTTTGTGTTTGTTAGCTGTTTTAAAATGATTGCGTCTCTTTAAGCGATGATCTTAAAGCAAAGTCCAATTTGGTCTTTCTTCACCTCGGTGCAGTTAAACACTCGCTCTCATGCTGCCTTTGAATGCCTTCGACCTCAAGTCCTCAAAGCTCTGATGACATCACTGTGAAGACATCAAAGCTTTTCATAGCTCTGATGTCATCACTGTGATGTCATAGCTGATGTCACTGCAGGGCTGGCTCAGGCTTCCTCCTGGAATTCCACGTTGCTATGGCAACGGATCACAACGAAATTCTGCCACACCCTAAAACTTAAAATAGGTCCTTTATTTAACAAACTGTCACAATAAATAAATAGATAAATAAAAAAACAAACAAAAAAACTGCTCAATAATGACAGGGAATCGTTTTTTTTTTTCCCCATATAGTTTCATATTTTTATATTTTGCATGACATTAAGTGACACAACTATTACATTTACATTTCCAATTTCAAAAAATGTGGGAGACTGTGTAAAATGTTGATTTAAAAAATAACATCATTTTAACCCTATATTTTAATAGGGAACCGAAGCCACGCCCACTTCCGCGTTAGCGCTATAGGTCCTATTGGGATAATAGGAGTGAATGGACAGGTCTATGGTATTTTCTGGTCCGCTTTGTTTTACACCCTGAGTCACAAATATGTTGTATTTTAACTTAAATGATAACCATTAAGGTAAATAAAGGCTCTGTTTGTTGTCTAATTGTTGATCTATTTGTCTTTGAAAACACGTAAATGGAGAGACTACAGACCTCAAGAAGTCGCGTAAATGACATAGAGCCCCCTTGTAGAGCTTGTCCCGCATGCTGGCTCTCACTCGACCAACTATCTCTCCGCCGGCGTAACTCCCACTCTCAACATGACCCGACTTGTAGTGGTTTTCACCACGTTTAATACTCTTTCCTTCATCCTGGAAGAAGGACGTGAAACTTGCCAAAGTCACCACCATCGTCGTCTGTCAAAGCTTAGACAGTGACGCAAAAATAGTGCGACGAGCGGTGTAGTTCATTACGTGGTCTCACTCTAAATTAAACTGTAGTTATAGCAACATGTCTAAAATCACGGCTTTTTCGAGGTTAAAATGTAAATTTAAACATGATAAACATTATATGTGAAATCCACGGCGTATACCAAAGCGGACCAGTAGTTATATATATCTGTCCATTCATTTTGATGGGCTCCATAGGACCGTATGCTAACCCGGAAGTTAGCATGACTTCGGTTCCCTATAGAAGCAGCGCAAAAATGACAAATCTGATGTTGAAACTTGTCCACACATTTGACTACAAGTTGTTCTCCGAAGTGATTAAATGTTAACTATGATCACAGCTTTTGATATTATTTAATTTTGACAGCAGTGTCTGTGGCACGTAAAGTCATGCCAAGCTTTAACTATGCAAACTTTGAACCATACAGAAGGCTCAGTTTCACATAGGCTCCTACAGTTTTAGTGTAGATTCAGTGGCTGAGAGTTGAGATATTCTTCTTTTTAATCCTGCCCCTTTCCCACAGTGCTGTTGAAGACATTTGCTCTTTATCTCCAGGTGAAACAAAACAATCTCATCTTCAACCTCTACAAGCCAACAAACCAAAACTGACATTCGTCAGCATGTGTGCAGCTGAACTTTGTTGGAGCTGAAGCTGTGAGATGTTTTTATGAAGACCAGAGAGGAGAGCATGGAGATAGTGGATTCTACATGAAGAAGAGTCTCTGCGTCGGCTCGAGAGAGAGAAACCGGCGCACTCTGGAGATCTTCTTTAAATGATCAAACGACTTTTTGGGAACATCTCGTATGTGAGGCTCCAAACTGATAATAATCCATTCATAGATGTTCATCGATACGTGTTAATAAGCTGCAAAGGAGCACCGTCAGTGATTGATAAGTGATTGATTAAGGGTTCATTCGTTCATTCATTAATCTGAACCTCTCACGTATCATCTAATTAAAGTTAACGAGCGGATCCTGCTGAGTTCTTAACCAGGAGTCTCCAAGTCCTCCTGAAGGTCGGTGATGATTTGAATTCAGGGTCAAACGGGTTGAAATCATGTCAATAATGACTCTTTATGCTGATGTTAACAGAGGTGTAAAAAAAAAATTATAAAAGACCAAAACCTTAAAATGGAAATAGCAAAAAACATGCGTCCTTCAATTTTCTTCATATTCACACTAAAGAAAGACGATCATGTCCACTAGCATCCCTGCAAGTTTCAGGATGGGCATTCCATCACTTTTTGAGTAATCAGTCAAAACGTGTGGTTCGTTAGGTGTAAAATCGCCATATTTGACACATTATACAGTCCTGACCTCATCTGGAGTCAGCCCCACTTGCCTGCCTGTGTAAAATATTACTTCCTCATAGTGCAAAATGCTTTTTTTGAGTGTTTTCATTTGTATGTTATCCCATATTGATATGAAAAATGGCTAGAATAGCTTATTTGTGCTCAGTTTTCCATCACATTTCATTTCTGTTTGCACCTACATCCAGAATATGATCTTAGCTTCATGGGAGAATCATTTGGACATACCTGCATGTCCTGGATCCTTAAGTTATTTGTCAACCCTAGGATCCAGGACATGCAGGTATGTCCCAATGATTTTTGTGTCATTATCTTTTGATTAAAAATGGCCAATTCTGATGAAGAAGAAACGTCACCTGTGGGAGACATGAACGGAGCAGCTGCACATTTCCAGCATGGTTAGCAGAGGATGGTTTCGATCCATCGACCTCTGGGTTTTAGGCCCAGCACGCTTCCACTGCGCCACTCTGCTATTTTATTTTATTTTTTTTTTTTTCAAGGTTTTTAGTCTTGTGTTGGGAGAAACCGAAGCACTCGGAGTAAACCCATTCGCTGGTGGCCATGTATGGGCCTGAAGTCTGTCCTCATATCCATCTAGGACTTCATGCGCGACAAGCTGCAGTTAGGCGGGAAGCCCAGGGGGTCCAAGCTGAAGTGAAAGTCCGGAGAAGACATCTGAAGAACTTTTGGATGGAGCTGGGTCTTTCTGATGAAAAATGCTTCATTAGAGCCTCAGCCACAGCCTCAAGGAGTGGTTGATCCTCTTCCAAGAGATTTAACCAAAGAACTGAAGCATCAACATTTTTGAGCACTTCTTTGTACACAGCTTTGCATTTCTTTTTGATGCTTTTCAGGCTCAAATCCACATGAACAGAAGTACCACTCATCTTTTCATACAGCATGTCTGTCAGTCTGGCTTCAGCTGATTTGTAGGTCTGATCGGGGAAGAAATTTTTCATGACTTTGCGTAAGAACATCTTCACAATGATTTGGCAAATCAGTGGGTCCCACTTCTTTAGAACAGATTCAGTGTTTTGACCAGATGGTTTTGCCACCTGAGCCTGTTCTACTTGCTCCTCAGCTGTGTAGACCTCTTCTTCCTCCTCCTCATCTGAGCAGGCCTCTTCCTTTTCCTTCTCAGCTGTGAAGCTTTGAACCTCCTCTCGCACAGGTGTGGGGCAGGTCTGATCCTCAGCTCCAGTTTTGGGGGGACTGAGATCTGACTGGTTATTCTGCACAAATCTCCTGAACTTCTTGAGAGTCATGCTCACACAGTCCTTCCTAATCTTGCGCAGTCGGCTCTGCTTCTTTAGCCACTTCCTCGTCTCTTTAAGGATCTTGTCTACTCCAGCACGAATCTCTTCTCGGTGTGTTTTTTCTTGGACTTTTGGTGGTGTCAAGTGACTGGCCAATGTGTCACTCAGCTTTTCAGCAAAACTTTCCAGCTCGTCACCGGAAAAGATGCTGGCTAATTTCTCAAAGGGGCAATCCTCTAATGACCCACGACTTGGTACCTGATTGTTTGTTGTAATGAACTCTGTTAAAAGATCATCCACACTCTTAATCAGCTGTGAATTGACTAATTTCACAGCTTCCTGTTCTTTACGGGAGGCCGGCTTGCGTCTGAATTTAGACATCATGCTCAGGATTGACCCTCGAGCAAATGTTTGGACAAAGACAGTCCTCATCTGCCTGATGACTTTTCTCCTGCGGTATCCTAAGAGATCTTCTGTGTGACATCCAGCCAGGTCCTGTGGAACATCCTCTGTAAAATTTTCAACAATCTGAGATGATAACTCTGATAACTCGTAGTCCTTGCTGGTTTGAGAAAGAAGCAGGCTATCTTCTTCCTCTGTGGAGTAACTCTGAGCATCATGAACAATCTCTTCCAGTTGTTGCTCCAGGATTTCTTTGGTCACATGAAAAATAGTCGGGGATTTGTTGACCGTAGACTCGGCCCTGCCTGGTTTCTCTTCTTGCAGAGAAGTTACAGAGGTCTGAGTGGGTACCACCACCTCTTCCTTCTCCTGCACAGTGCAGGTTGATTTGACTCGGTGCAACATTGTCTTCATCCTTTCGTAGCAGTTTTTGAGAATCCTCTTGAAGTGTCCCCTCAGTTTGATTAGAATAGTGGGGGAAGTCTTGTGCTCCTCCGAGTCGTCACTATCACTTGTTTTAGACAGCCTGGAGTTGACTCTCTCTGTGACTGCTGTGACCATGAGCTCTGTCACCCGCCCGCTCTTAGGGTAGTGGATGTCTCCTACACCCTGTACCTCTGCCACAGTCTGTGCGATGACTTCACCCATGTTCCCCAAACATTCGCGCACGTCCTCCTTACACACAGATTTAGCAGATCCTGGTGACCAGTCTTTCTGTTTTTCAAGTCTTCTGTTGAGAGACTCATGCAGACTTTGAGCCAAAATTTCAATAACATTTACACACAAAGCTGTCACGCGAGTACTTGTCTCTGGGTCAAGACGCCCAGTCTCCAGTCTCTGCCAGTTTTCTGCCGTCAGCTGGTTCATGAACGCACGGACGACTGGCCTAAGAGTCTCTTTGGAGGCCAGATAAAAATTCAGTTCCATCCTCTCTGGTGTGCTGATGAGACTCATACCTGCGTTTGTGTTTGTTAGCTGTTTTAAAATGATTGCGTCTCTTTAAGCGATGATCTTAAAACAAAGTCCAATTTGGTCTTTCTTCACCTCGGTGCAGTTAAACACTCGCTCTCATGCTGCCTTTGAATGCCTTCGACCTCAAGTCCTCAAAGCTCTGATGACATCACTGTGATGACATCAAAGCTTTTCATAGCTCTGATGTCATCACTGTGATGTCATAGCTGATGTCATTGCAGGGCTGGCTGAGGCTTCCTCCTGGAATTCCACGTTGCTATGGCAACAGATCACAACTAAATTCTGCCACACCCTAAAACTTAATGTCATGCAAAATATAAAAATATGAAACTATATGGGGAAAAAAAAACGATTCCCTGTCATTATTGAGCAGTTTTTTTCTTTGTTTTTTTATTTATCTATTTATTGAGTGGGATTGCGAAGCATTCCCACTATATGTTATTCATATCTTTATTATTATTATTCCACCGTTTTTTGTGCCCTAACTACTTCCACATACTTCAACGTATTCAAACCATTCAAATATCAAAAGATTCATCTCATTGAGGACATTCAGGGGTGTATTCAAAATTTTCCTAACATTCATACTTTCCGAGATATTCCAGGTTTTCCGACCCATTTCTCCCATTAGAAATGCATTACGGAATGTTCAAATTGGCCCTTTTCTCACATTTTCTTCACACAACTTCAAAAGCCTTCAACTCCTCTATACTTCCACATAGAAACTTCATTCAAAAACCAAAATATTCACAAATTCGTCAGCATTATTCTACATCTTCAACATTTTTAATCCCATTTGTACTTTTCAAAATATTAAGATTAGTTTAAAACTTCATTATAATGGCAGTCAATAGGAAAAGGGCTTCAGACGTAGTCAACTTCAACCTCTTCTCATTCATTCATACTTTCACCTAGAAACTTCATTCAAACTTTAAAATATTCACACATCTTCAGACATTCACTCATTCATTCACCATCTTCATGGCATTCATACTTTTCTCACAGTGACAGTTCAAACAGTCACAGGATTTTCTGACCTCCTCAGGTTTTAACATTAGTGTGTATTGCACGGAATGTTGGCCGCTAGAGTGGGTGACCTCACAGCTAGAGTGAGAGGGGCTGAAAATTGATCCTCAAAACTTTGTCTTTACAAAAGGATTGTGGCAACTCACTTCGCTCTACACAGATAAAAATTGGTACAGTGATGGCAAAACTTGCTGTCACTCTTCATCTCAAAAATCAAAGCAATAGGACACACACAGTGGCCTGGGCAGACACCAACTGCCGCAGACATCCCCCAGATTTCTCCAGCTTTCTCCATTGACTCCAATGTAAACCTGAGAGGAGGATTTTCAGAGGAAACACGAACTGGACATGTTTTTAACTCGTCGTAGTGAAGGCATTTTTGGCTCCAAAGACACAGAAGTTGTATCAACGTGTTCAGCCGGGTCTTGTGGTTCCCACAAGCTCCTTATCGTGGAGATAGCAGTTACAGAGGATGAGAAATATGACGTTGTTTGGGCATTACGTTCTCAGCCGCAAGCCTCCTTTCTCCTGCTGTTGTTAAGCATCTATCGTCCCCATGGCAACCAAAGGGAGCACCTGGAGACACACAGCTGGCTGGAAAGCTGCTTCTAACAGCCATATGAGACACATGAAGCCAGGCTCAGTACACAGAGTACTGGGGGTTACATTTAAAACCCTTCAATAGAGTTATTTGACGAAATTTGTCATCTATCTCTTCGCACAAACCTTGAGCTACAGAAACCATCCAGGGCTTAATAAATTCAGCTCATTGAGGACATTATGGGGTCTAATCAGGATTTTTATTCATTTACATTGTCCCCATTTTTTCAATCATTCATTGAAAATGCATTATTTAACTCTTCAAACTAATTTAAACTTCTTCAAACTGATTTAAAGCGTTTTGATTCTTTAAACTTCTTTTTCTTCCAGATTTGTAACCTTTTAATTTTCCAGTTTTAAATATTTTTTACTCTTTATGCATTTTTCAGTTCTTTCAAACAAATTCCAACTCATTTAAACTGATTTAAACCTTATGGATTCTTCAAGCCTTTCCCATGCTTCAGGGTTTTTAATCATTTTAATTTTCATACGTTAAATTTTCAAAATTAATACTCATGCATGATTCAATTCATTCAATTGAGTTTATTCAAATTGAATCAAATATTCCTCATACTTCATACCTTTTTACTATTTAAATATCTTTAAGATTCAGCCATTTGCAATAGCAGCTTAGCGCTAGCAATTTCGACTGAAGCAATCCCACTCGCAATTTCTTCAGAAATTGCATTTTCTAGTTTATTGTGACAGTTTGTTAAATAAAGGACCTATTTTAAGTTTTAGGGTGTGGCAGAATTTAGTTGTGATCCGTTGCCATAGCAACGTGGAATTCCAGGAGGAAGCCTCAGCCAGCCCTGCAGTGACATCAGCTATGACATCACAGTGATGACATCAGAGCTATGAAAAGCTTTGATGTCTTCACAGTGATGTCATCAGAGCTTTGAGGACTTGAGGTCGAAGGCATTCAAAGGCAGCATGAGAGCGAGTGTTTAACTGCACCGAGGTGAAGAAAGACCAAATTGGACTTTGTTTTAAGATCATCGCTTAAAGAGACGCAATCATTTTAAAACAGCTAACAAACACAAACGCAGGTATGAGTCTCATCAGCACACCAGAGAGGATGGAACTGAATTTTTATCTGGCCTCCAAAGAGACTCTTAGGCCAGTCGTCCGTGCGTTCATGAACCAGCTGACGGCAGAAAACTGGCAGAGACTGGAGACTGGGCGTCTTGACCCAGAGACAAGTACTCGCGTGACAGCTTTGTGTGTAAATGTTATTGAAATTTTGGCTCAAAGTCTGCATGAGTCTCTCAACAGAAGACTTGAAAAACAGAAAGACTGGTCACCAGGATCTGCTAAATCTGTGTGTAAGGAGGACGTGCGCGAATGTTTAGGGAACATGGGTGAAGTCATCGCACAGACTGTGGCAGAGGTACAGGGTGTAGGAGACATCCACTACCCTAAGAGCGGGCGGGTGACAGAGCTCATGGTCACAGCAGTCACAGAGAGAGTCAACTCCAGGCTGTCTAAAACAAGTGACAGTGACGACTCGGAGGAGCACAAGACTTCCCCCACTATTCTAATCAAACTGAGGGGACACTTCAAGAGGATTCTCAAAAACTGCTACGAAAGGATGAAGACAATGTTGCACCGAGTCAAATCAACCTGCACTGTGCAGGAGAAGGAAGAGGTGGTGGTACCCACTCAGACCTCTGTAACTTCTCTGCAAGAAGAGAAACCAGGCAGGGCCGAGTCTACGGTCAACAAATCCCCGACTATTTTTCATGTGACCAAAGAAATCCTGGAGCAACAACTGGAAGAGATTGTTCATGATGCTCAGAGTTACTCCACAGAGGAAGAAGATAGCCTGCTTCTTTCTCAAACCAGCAAGGACTACGAGTTATCAGAGTTATCATCTCAGATTGTTGAAAATTTTACAGAGGACGTTCCACAGGACCTGGCTGGATGTCACACAGAAGATCTCTTAGGATACCGCAGGAGAAAAGTCATCAGGCAGATGAGGACTGTCTTTGTCCAAACATTTGCTCGAGGGTCAATCCTGAGCATGATGTCTAAATTCAGACGCAAGCCGGCCTCCCGTAAAGAACAGGAAGCTGTGAAATTAGTCAATTCACAGCTGATTAAGAGTGTGGATGATCTTTTAACAGAGTTCATTACAACAAACAATCAGGTACCAAGTCGTGGGTCATTAGAGGATTGCCCCTTTGAGAAATTAGCCAGCATCTTTTCCGGTGACGAGCTGGAAAGTTTTGCTGAAAAGCTGAGTGACACATTGGCCAGTCACTTGACACCACCAAAAGTCCAAGAAAAAACACACCGAGAAGAGATTCGTGCTGGAGTAGACAAGATCCTTAAAGAGACGAGGAAGTGGCTAAAGAAGCAGAGCCGACTGCGCAAGATTTGGAAGGACTGTGTGAGCATGACTCTCAAGAAGTTCAGGAGATTTGTGCAGAATAACCAGTCAGATCTCAGTCCCCCCAAAACTGGAGCTGAGGATCAGACCTGCCCCACACCTGTGCGAGAGGAGGTTCAAAGCTTCACAGCTGAGAAGGAAAAGGAAGAGGCCTGCTCAGATGAGGAGGAGAAGGAAGAAGAGGCCTGCTCAGATGAGGAGGAGAAGGAAGAGGTCTACACAGCTGAGGAGCAAGTAGAACAGGCTCAGGTGGCAAAACCATCTGGTCAAAACACTGAATCTGTTCTGTGGGACCCACTGATTTGCCAAATCATTGTGAAGATGTTCTTACGCAAAGTCATGAAAAATTTCTTCCCCGATCAGACCTACAAATCAGCTGAAGCCAGACTGACAGACATGCTGTATGAAAAGATGAGTGGTACTTCTGTTAATGTGGATTTGAGCCTGAAAAGCATCAAAAAGAAATGCAAAGCTGTGTACAAAGAAGTGCTCAAAAATGTTGATGCTTCAGTTCTTTGGTTAAATCTCTTGGAAGAGGATCAACCACTCCTTGAGGCTGTGGCTGAGGCTCTAATGAAGCATTTTTCATCAGAAAGACCCAGCTCCATCCAAAAGTTCTTCAGATGTCTTCTCCGGACTTTCACTTCAGCTTGGACCCCCTGGGCTTCCCGCCTAACTGCAGCTTGTCGCGCATGAAGTCCTAGATGGATATGAGGACAGACTTCAGGCCCATACATGGCCACCAGCGAATGGGTTTACTCCGAGTGCTTCGGTTTCTCCCAACACAAGACTAAAAACCTTGAAAAAAAAATAAAATAAAATAGCAGAGTGGCGCAGTGGAAGCGTGCTGGGCCTAAAACCCAGAGGTCGATGGATCGAAACCATCCTCTGCTAACCATGCTGGAAATGTGCAGCTGCTCCGTTCATGTCTCCCACAGGTGACGTTTCTTCTTCATCAGAATTGGCCATTTTTAATCAAAAGATAATGACACAAAAATCATTGGGACATACCTGCATGTCCTGGATCCTAGGGTTGACAAATAACTTAAGGATCCAGGACATGCAGGTATGTCCAAATGATTCTCCCATGAAGCTAAGATCATATTCTGGATATACACTCACCGGCCATTTTATTAGGTACACCTGTCCAACTGCTCGTTAACACTTAATTTCTAATCAGCCAATCACATGGCGGCAACTTAGTGCATTTAGGCATGTAGACATGGTCAAGACAATCTCCTGCAGTTCAAACCGAGCATCAGTATGGGGAAGAAAGGTGATTTGAGTGACTTTGAACGTGGCATGGTTGTTGGTGCCAGAAGGGCTGGTCTGAGTATTTCAGAAACTGCTGATCTACTGGGATTTTCACGCACAACCATCTCTAGAGTTTACAGAGAATGGTCCGAAAAAGAAAAAATATCCAGTGAGCGGCAGTTCTGTGGGCGGAAATGCCTTGTTGATGCCAGAGGTCAGAGGAGAATGGCCAGACTGGTTCGAGCTGATAGAAAGGCAACAGTGACTCAAATAACCACCCGTTACAACCAAGGTAGACAGAAGAGCATCTCTGAACGCACAGTACGTCGAACTTTGAGGCAGATGGGCTACAGCAGCAGAAGACCACGCCGGGTGCCACTCCTTTCAGCTAAGAACAGGAAACTGAGGCTACAATTTGCACAAGCTCATCGAAATTGGACAATAGAAGATTGGAAAAACGTTGCCTGGTCTGATGAGTCTCGATTTCTGCTGCGACATTCGGATGGTAGGGTCAGAATTAGGCGTCAACAACATGAAAGCATGGATCCATCCTGCCTTGTATCAACGGTTCAGGCTGGTGGTGGTGGTGTCATGGTGTGGGGAATATTTTCTTGGCACTCTTTGGGCCCCTTGGTACCAATTGAGCATCGTTGCAACGCCACAGCCTACCTGAGTATTGTTGCTGACCATGTCCATCCCTTTATGACCACAATGTACCCAACTTCTGATGGCTACTTTCAGCAGGATAATGCGCCATGTCATAAAGCTGGAATCATCTCAGACTGGTTTCTTGAACATGACAATGAGTTCACTGTACTCAAATGGCCTCCACAGTCACCAGATCTCAATCCAATAGAGCATCTTTGGGATGTGGTGGAACGGGAGATTCGCATCATGGATGTGCAGCCGACAAATCTGCGGCAACTGTGTGATGCCATCATGTCAATATGGACCAAGCTCTCTGAGGAATGCTTCCAGCACCTTGTTGAATCTATGCCACCAAGAATTGAGGCAGTTCTGAAGGCAAAAGGGGGTCCAACCCGGTACTAGCATGGTGTACCTAATAAAGTGGCCAGTGAGTGTAGGTGCAAACAGAAATGAAATGTGATGGAAAACTGAGCACAAATAAGCTATTCTAGCCATTTTTCATATCAATATGGGATAACATACAAATGAAAACACTCAAAAAAAGCATTTTGCACTATGAGGAAGTAATATTTTACACAGGCAGGCAAGTGGGGCTGACTCCAGATGAGGTCAGGACTGTATAATGTGTCAAATATGGCGATTTTCCACCTAACGAACCACACGTTTTGACTGATTACTCAAAAAGTGATGGAATGCCCATCCTGAAACTTGCAGGGATGCTAGTGGACATGATCGTCTTTCTTTAGTGTGAATATGAAGAAAATTGAAGGACGCATGTTTTTTGCTATTTCCAATTTAAGTTTTTGGTCTTTTATAATTTTTTTTTACACCTCTGTTAACATCAGCATAAAGAGTCATTATTGACATGATTTCAACCCGTTTGACCCTGAATTCAAATCATCACCGACCTTCAGGAGGACTTGGAGACTCCTGGTTAAGAACTCAGCAGGATCCGCTCGTTAACTTTAATTAGATGATACGTGAGAGGTTCAGATTAATGAATGAACGAATGAACCCTTAATCAATCACTTATCAATCACTGACGGCGCTCCTTTGCAGCTTATTAACATGTATTGATGAACATCTATAAATGGATTATTGACTGTTGAACCTCAGTTTGGAGCCTCACATACGAGATGTTCCCAAAAAGTCGTTTTATCATTTAAAGAAGATCTCCAGAGTGCGCCGGTTTCTCTCTCTCGAGCCGACGCAGAGACTCTTCTTCATGTAGAATCCACTATCTCCATGCTCTCCTCTCTGGTCTTCATAAAAACATCTCACAGCTTCAGCTCCAACAAAGTTCAGCTGCACACATGCTGACGAATGTCAGTTTTGGTTTGTTGGCTTGTAGAGGTTGAAGATGAGATTGTTTTGTTTCACCTGGAGATAAAGAGCAAATGTCTTCAACAGCACTGTGGGAAAGGGGCAGGATTAAAAAGAAGAATATCTCAACTCTCAGCCACTGAATCTACACAAAAACTGTAGGACCCTATGTGAAACTGAGCCTTCTGTATGGTTCAAAGTTTGCATAGTTAAAGCTTGGCATGACTTTACGTGCCACAGACACTGCTGTCAAAATTAAATAATATCAAAAGCTGTGATCATAGTTAACATTTAATCACTTCGGAGAACAACTTGTAGTCAAATGTGTGGACAAGTTTCAACATCAGATTTGTCATTTTTGCGCTGCTTCTATTAAAATATAGGGTTAAAATGATGTTATTTTTTAAATCAACATTTTACACAGTCTCCCACATTTTTTGAAATTGGAAATGTAAATGTAATAGTTGTGTCACTTAATGTCATGCAAAATATAAAAATATGAAACTATATGGGGAAAAAAAAACGATTCCCTGTCATTATTGAGCAGTTTTTTTGTTTGTTTTTTTATTTATCTATTTATTTATTGTGACAGTTTGTTAAATAAAGGACCTATTTTAAGTTTTAGGGTGTGGCAGAATTTAGTTGTGATCCGTTGCCATAGCAACGGGGAATTCCAGGAGGAAGCCTCAGCCAGCCCTGCAGTGACATCAGCTATGACATCACAGTGATGACATCAGAGCTTTGAAAAGCTTTGATGTCTTCACAGTGATGTCATCAGAGCTTTGAGGACTTGAGGTCGAAGGCATTCAAAGGCAGCATGAGAGCGAGTGTTTAACTGCACCGAGGTGAAGAAAGACCAAATCGGACTTTGTTTTAAGATCATCGCTTAAAGAGACGCAATCATTTTAAAACAGCTAACAAACACAAACGCAGGTATGAGTCTCATCAGCACACCAGAGAGGATGGAACTGAATTTTTATCTGGCCTCCAAAGAGACTCTTAGGCCAGTCGTCCGTGCGTTCATGAACCAGCTGACGGCAGAAAACTGGCAGAGACTGGAGACTGGGCGTCTTGACCCAGAGACAAGTACTCGCGTGACAGCTTTGTGTGTAAATGTTATTGAAATTTTGGCTCAAAGTCTGCATGAGTCTCTCAACAGAAGACTTGAAAAACAGAAAGACTGGTCACCAGGATCTGCTAAATCTGTGTGTAAGGAGGACGTGCGCGAATGTTTAGGGAACATGGGTGAAGTCATCGCACAGACTGTGGCAGAGGTACAGGGTGTAGGAGACATCCACTACCCTAAGAGCGGGCGGGTGACAGAGCTCATGGTCACAGCAGTCACAGAGAGAGTCAACTCCAGGCTGTCTAAAACAAGTGACAGTGACGACTCGGAGGAGCACAAGACTTCCCCCACTATTCTAATCAAACTGAGGGGACACTTCAAGAGGATTCTCAAAAACTGCTACGAAAGGATGAAGACAATGTTGCACCGAGTCAAATCAACCTGCACTGTGCAGGAGAAGGAAGAGGTGGTGGTACCCACTCAGACCTCTGTAACTTCTCTGCAAGAAGAGAAACCAGGCAGGGCCGAGTCTACGGTCAACAAATCCCCGACTATTTTTCATGTGACCAAAGAAATCCTGGAGCAACAACTGGAAGAGATTGTTCATGATGCTCAGAGTTACTCCACAGAGGAAGAAGATAGCCTGCTTCTTTCTCAAACCAGCAAGGACTACGAGTTATCAGAGTTATCATCTCAGATTGTTGAAAATTTTACAGAGGACGTTCCACAGGACCTGGCTGGATGTCACACAGAAGATCTCTTAGGATACCGCAGGAGAAAAGTCATCAGGCAGATGAGGACTGTCTTTGTCCAAACATTTGCTCGAGGGTCAATCCTGAGCATGATGTCTAAATTCAGACGCAAGCCGGCCTCCCGTAAAGAACAGGAAGCTGTGAAATTAGTCAATTCACAGCTGATTAAGAGTGTGGATGATCTTTTAACAGAGTTCATTACAACAAACAATCAGGTACCAAGTCGTGGGTCATTAGAGGATTGCCCCTTTGAGAAATTAGCCAGCATCTTTTCCGGTGACGAGCTGGAAAGTTTTGCTGAAAAGCTGAGTGACACATTGGCCAGTCACTTGACACCACCAAAAGTCCAAGAAAAAACACACCGAGAAGAGATTCGTGCTGGAGTAGACAAGATCCTTAAAGAGACGAGGAAGTGGCTAAAGAAGCAGAGCCGACTGCGCAAGATTAGGAAGGACTGTGTGAGCATGACTCTCAAGAAGTTCAGGAGATTTGTGCAGAATAACCAGTCAGATCTCAGTCCCCCCAAAACTGGAGCTGAGGATCAGACCTGCCCCACACCTGTGCGAGAGGAGGTTCAAAGCTTCACAGCTGAGAAGGAAGAAGAAGAGGCCTGCTCAGATGAGGAGGAGGAAGAAGAGGCCTGCTCAGATGAGGAGGAGGAAGAAGAGGCCTGCTCAGATGAGGAGGAGAAGGAAGAGTTCTACACAGCTGAGGAGGAGAAGGAAGAGGCCTGCTCAGATGAGGAGGAGAAGGAAGAGGTCTACACAGCTGAGGAGCAAGTAGAACAGGCTCAGGTGGCAAAACCATCTGGTCAAAACACTGAATCTGTTCTGTGGGACCCACTGATTTGCCAAATCATTGTGGAGATGTTCTTACGCAAAGTCATGAAAAATTTCTTCCCCGATCAGACCTACAAATCAGCTGAAGCCAGACTGACAGACATGCTGTATGAAAAGATGAGTGGTACTTCTGTTAATGTGGATTTGAGCCTGAAAAGCATCAAAAAGAAATGCAAAGCTGTGTACAAAGAAGTGCTCAAAAATGTTGATGCTTCAGTTCTTTGGTTAAATCTCTTGGAAGAGGATCAACCACTCCTTGAGGCTGTGGCTGAGGCTCTAATGAAGCATTTTTCATCAGAAAGACCCAGCTCCATCCAAAAGTTCTTCAGATGTCTTCTCCGGACTTTCACTTCAGCTTGGACCCCCTGGGCTTCCCGCCTAACTGCAGCTTGTCGCGCATGAAGTCCTAGATGGATATGAGGACAGACTTCAGGCCCATACATGGCCACCAGCGAATGGGTTTACTCCGAGTGCTTCGGTTTCTCCCAACACAAGACTAAAAACCTTGAAAAAAATAAAATAAAATAGCAGAGTGGCGCAGTGGAAGCGTGCTGGGCCTAAAACCCAGAGGTCGATGGATCGAAACCATCCTCTGCTAACCATGCTGGAAATGTGCAGCTGCTCCGTTCATGTCTCCCACAGGTGACGTTTCTTCTTCATCAGAATTGGCCATTTTTAATCAAAAGATAATGACACAAAAATCATTGGGACATACCTGCATGTCCTGGATCCTAGGGTTGACAAATAACTTAAGGATCCAGGACATGCAGGTATGTCCAAATGATTCTCCCATGTAGCTAAGATCATATTCTGGATATACACTCACCGGCCATTTTATTAGGTACACCTGTCCAACTGCTCGTTAACACTTAATTTCTAATCAGCCAATCACATGGCGGCAACTTAGTGCATTTAGGCATGTAGACATGGTCAAGACAATCTCCTGCAGTTCAAACCGAGCATCAGTATGGGGAAGAAAGGTGATTTGAGTGACTTTGAACGTGGCATGGTTGTTGGTGCCAGAAGGGCTGGTCTGAGTATTTCAGAAACTGCTGATCTACTGGGATTTTCACGCACAACCATCTCTAGGGTTTACAGAGAATGGTCCGAAAAAGAAAAAATATCCAGTGAGCGGCAGTTCTGTGGGCGGAAATGCCTTGTTGATGCCAGAGGTCAGAGGAGAATGGCCAGACTGGTTCGAGCTGATAGAAAGGCAACAGTGACTCAAATAACCACCCGTTACAACCAAGGTAGGCAGAAGAGCATCTCTGAACGCACAGTACGTCGAACTTTGAGGCAGATGGGCTACAGCAGCAGAAGACCACGCCGGGTGCCACTCCTTTCAGCTAAGAACAGGAAACTGAGGCTACAATTTGCACAAGCTCATCGAAATTGGACAATAGAAGATTGGAAAAACGTTGCCTGGTCTGATGAGTCTCGATTTCTGCTGCGACATTCGGATGGTAGGGTCAGAATTAGGCGTCAACAACATGAAAGCATGGATCCATCCTGCCTTGTATCAACGGTTCAGGCTGGTGGTGGTGGTGTCATGGTGTGGGGAATATTTTCTTGGCACTCTTTGGGCCCCTTGGTACCAATTGAGCATCGTTGCAACGCCACAGCCTACCTGAGTATTGTTGCTGACCATGTCCATCCCTTTATGACCACAATGTACCCAACTTCTGATGGCTACTTTCAGCAGGATAATGCGCCATGTCATAAAGCTGGAATCATCTCAGACTGGTTTCTTGAACATGACAATGAGTTCACTGTACTCAAATGGCCTCCACAGTCACCAGATCTCAATCCAATAGAGCATCTTTGGGATGTGGTGGAACGGGAGATTCGCATCATGGATGTGCAGCCGACAAATCTGTGGCAACTGTGTGATGCTATCATGTCAATATGGACCAAGCTCTCTGAGGAATGCTTCCAGCACCTTGTTGAATCTATGCCACGAAGAATTGAGGCAGTTCTGAAGGCAAAAGGGGGTCCAACCCGTTACTAGCATGGTGTACCTAATAAAGTGGCCAGTGAGTGTAGGTGCAAACAGAAATGAAATGTGATGGAAAACTGAGCACAAATAAGCTATTCTAGCCATTTTTCATATCAATATGGGATAACATACAAATGAAAACACTCAAAAAAAGCATTTTGCACTATGAGGAAGTAATATTTTACACAGGCAGGCAAGTGGGGCTGACTCCAGATGAGGTCAGGACTGTATAATGTGTCAAATATGGCGATTTTCCACCTAACGAACCACACGTTTTGACTGATTACTCAAAAAGTGATGGAATGCCCATCCTGAAACTTGCAGGGATGCTAGTGGACATGATCGTCTTTCTTTAGTGTGAATATGAAGACAATTGAAGGACGCATGTTTTTTGCTATTTCCAATTTAAGTTTTTGATCTTTTATAATTTTTTTTTTACACCTCTGTTAACATCAGCATAAAGAGTCATTATTGACATGATTTCAACCCGTTTGACCCTGAATTCAAATCATCACCGACCTTCAGGAGGACTTGGAGACTCCTGGTTAAGAACTCAGCAGGATCCGCTCGTTAACTTTAATTAGATGATACATGAGAGGTTCAGATTAATGAATGAACGAATGAACCCTTAATCAATCACTTATCAATCACTGACGGCGCTCCTTTGCAGCTTATTAACATGTATTGATGAACATCTATAAATGGATTATTGACTGTTGAACCTCAGTTTGGAGCCTCACATACGAGATGTTCCCAAAAAGTCGTTTTATCATTTAAAGAAGATCTCCAGAGTGCGCCGGTTTCTCTCTCTCGAGCCGACGCAGAGACTCTTCTTCATGTAGAATCCACTATCTCCATGCTCTCCTCTCTGGTCTTCATAAAAACATCTCACAGCTTCAGCTCCAACAAAGTTCAGCTGCACACATGCTGACGAATGTCAGTTTTGGTTTGTTGGCTTGTAGAGGTTGAAGATGAGATTGTTTTGTTTCACCTGGAGATAAAGAGCAAATGTCTTCAACAGCACTGTGGGAAAGGGGCAGGATTAAAAAGAAGAATATCTCAACTCTCAGCCACTGAATCTACACAAAAACTGTAGGACCCTATGTGAAACTGAGCCTTCTGTATGGTTCAAAGTTTGCATAGTTAAAGCTTGGCATGACTTTACGTGCCACAGACACTGCTGTCAAAATTAAATAATATCAAAAGCTGTGATCATAGTTAACATTTAATCACTTCGGAGAACAACTTGTAGTCAAATGTGTGGACAAGTTTCAACATCAGATTTGTCATTTTTGCGCTGCTTCTATTAAAATATAGGGTTAAAATGATGTTATTTTTTAAATCAACATTTTACACAGTCTCCCACATTTTTTGAAATTGGAAATGTAAATGTAATAGTTGTGTCACTTAATGTCATGCAAAATATAAAAATATGAAACTATATGGGGAAAAAAAAAACGATTCCCTGTCATTATTGAGCAGTTTTTTTGTTTGTTTTTTTATTTATCTATTTATTTATTGTGACAGTTTGTTAAATAAAGGACCTATTTTAAGTTTTAGGGTGTGGCAGAATTTAGTTGTGATCCGTTGCCATAGCAACGGGGAATTCCAGGAGGAAGCCTCAGCCAGCCCTGCAGTGACATCAGCTATGACATCACAGTGATGACATCAGAGCTATGAAAAGCTTTGATGTCTTCACAGTGATGTCATCAGAGCTTTGAGGACTTGAGGTCGAAGGCATTCAAAGGCAGCATGAGAGCGAGTGTTTAACTGCACCGAGGTGAAGAAAGACCAAATTGGACTTTGTTTTAAGATCATCGCTTAAAGAGACGCAATCATTTTAAAACAGCTAACAAACACAAACGCAGGTATGAGTCTCATCAGCACACCAGAGAGGATGGAACTGAATTTTTATCTGGCCTCCAAAGAGACTCTTAGGCCAGTCGTCCGTGCGTTCATGAACCAGCTGACGGCAGAAAACTGGCAGAGACTGGAGACTGGGCGTCTTGACCCAGAGACAAGTACTCGCGTGACAGCTTTGTGTGTAAATGTTATTGAAATTTTGGCTCAAAGTCTGCATGAGTCTCTCAACAGAAGACTTGAAAAACAGAAAGACTGGTCACCAGGATCTGCTAAATCTGTGTGTAAGGAGGACGTGCGCGAATGTTTAGGGAACATGGGTGAAGTCATCGCACAGACTGTGGCAGAGGTACAGGGTGTAGGAGACATCCACTACCCTAAGAGCGGGCGGGTGACAGAGCTCATGGTCACAGCAGTCACAGAGAGAGTCAACTCCAGGCTGTCTAAAACAAGTGACAGTGACGACTCGGAGGAGCACAAGACTTCCCCCACTATTCTAATCAAACTGAGGGGACACTTCAAGAGGATTCTCAAAAACTGCTACGAAAGGATGAAGACAATGTTGCACCGAGTCAAATCAACCTGCACTGTGCAGGAGAAGGAAGAGGTGGTGGTACCCACTCAGACCTCTGTAACTTCTCTGCAAGAAGAGAAACCAGGCAGGGCCGAGTCTACGCTCAACAAATCCCCGACTATTTTTCATGTGACCAAAGAAATCCTGGAGCAACAACTGGAAGAGATTGTTCATGATGCTCAGAGTTACTCCACAGAGGAAGAAGATAGCCTGCTTCTTTCTCAAACCAGCAAGGACTACGAGTTATCAGAGTTATCATCTCAGATTGTTGAAAATTTTACAGAGGATGTTCCACAGGACCTGGCTGGATGTCACACAGAAGATCTCTTAGGATACCGCAGGAGAAAAGTCATCAGGCAGATGAGGACTGTCTTTGTCCAAACATTTGCTCGAGGGTCAATCCTGAGCATGATGTCTAAATTCAGACGCAAGCCGGCCTCCCGTAAAGAACAGGAAGCTGTGAAATTAGTCAATTCACAGCTGATTAAGAGTGTGGATGATCTTTTAACAGAGTTCATTACAACAAACAATCAGGTACCAAGTCGTGGGTCATTAGAGGATTGCCCCTTTGAGAAATTAGCCAGCATCTTTTCCGGTGACGAGCTGGAAAGTTTTGCTGAAAAGCTGAGTGACACATTGGCCAGTCACTTGACACCACCAAAAGTCCAAGAAAAAACACACCGAGAAGAGATTCGTGCTGGAGTAGACAAGATCCTTAAAGAGACGAGGAAGTGGCTAAAGAAGCAGAGCCGACTGCGCAAGATTAGGAAGGACTGTGTGAGCATGACTCTCAAGAAGTTCAGGAGATTTGTGCAGAATAACCAGTCAGATCTCAGTCCCCCCAAAACTGGAGCTGAGGATCAGACCTGCCCCACACCTGTGCGAGAGGAGGTTCAAAGCTTCACAGCTGAGAAGGAAGAAGAAGAGGCCTGCTCAGATGAGGAGGAGAAGGAAGAAGAGGCCTGCTCAGAT